GGGTCTAACCCTACGCATCACTGGGGGGTTCAGGCGTGCCTGTGAGCTACAGGAAAATCTTGGAGAGCTCCAGAAAAGCAACAGAAGGACTCTGGATTCTCCATGATACCTAAAAAGTTCCCGTAGGTCCAGCAGGCTCTTTCCTTTTCTGTGAACTGATTTTAAGATGCTGATGTGTCCCTGATCTAGACTTGGGATACTTGCTGCAAGGTGAACCTCAGAGAGACAGCAATGGAAGCAGGTAGACCACGCACGCACCTGCTCTGCTGTTCCTCATCTCTGCTCCAAGGTGGGTTCTCCTAACGTGGGTTTCTCAGCTGCCCTTTTACTGGAGGTGCCAATGTAAATAAATGGTCATTTCTTCCCCATGACAACAGCGGAATGGTGCAGCAAATTAAGAAATATGGTGGGAGGGTAAGAGGAGGGAAGAGGGGACGGGAAAAGAGCGAAGTCAGAATGGTCTCCATGGCAACAGGAAAGCAGACCTGTGATGACCCTGCTGAAGGTAAGAAAGTGGTGCTCTACTTTCAAAAAGAAAACAAATCGGAAGGGCAGGACTGTGGAGGCGAGGGTGTGAACAGGTGGTCTGCTAACACGCTTTGCCTACCACTAATTATTCTTTAGGAATTATGACAGGAAAAATAAGAGCAAGGGAAGAAAGTATTTAAACAATTCGATACCTTAATTTATTCTAGAAATGTACTCTGTTTGCTGTAACCAGGGAGAGAAAAGGCCAACACACATTACAGTGACGAGAGCAGAACACTCGGCTTTAGACTCTTGTTTCTCAAAGTCCAAGGCTGGCCAAGTCATCACCCAGGAGTTTCCTGAAAATGCAGAATCCTACCCCAGACCCGTCGTTTCAGAACCTGCAGTTTAACAAGATCCCTGAGTGATTCAAATCAGAGTTTGCAAAGCACTGGTTTACCAGGATGAGAGCTGCTCATTAAATTCATCGCAAGGAATTTAATTTACAGACACAGCATTGAAACAAGTAATACTAACGCAAAGCCTTGAAGAGGCCCAGGATGGTCCCCTGCAGTGGCCTAGAGGGTGGGGTGGGGCAGTGTGAGCACCTGCTCAGGTGTAAGCAAGAGAGATGTTTTTAGATAAAAACAAGAATATAAGCCATTAAACATCTTCATTCCATACTGGTAATTCTAGCTGAAATCAGTGGGAAAATTCTCAGGGTGGGAGTGGGGAGAGGGGGAGGTGGTTGGGCCAATCACATTTTTCCATTTGACAAGGTCATGCATCCCGCAGCGCCATCCTAGCTGGGGCCTGCCTGCTAAGTACTTCTCTGCCAACGGTGGCCACAAAGGTGCTGTCTTTCTTCCTTTCCATCAGTTACATCTCTTTCATCACCACATGGCCTTTTAATTTTCCAATTCCAGAGAGACTCCATTTATAGACATCAAAGGTCAGCTACGTATGCAAACAAACCTTTTCCCCTTAGGAAACTGCTCAGACAATGTGCTGACTGAATTCTGCGCTAGTCTGTCTCCCCTTTGCTGTGTGATGCACTGGACAGCAGGCCAGTCCCCGGGGGGCCCAGGGGAAGGCAGCGCTGGCCTCACAGGTCTCACAGCCTCACCTGTCTGCCTCCTTTGTGCAGAGGCAGGGAGGGGTGGAGGGGGTCCTGGACATGTCTGCACCTTCTGAGGAGCTGATGACTTATCTGTGAACTGGATGTCTGCCATTGCCCTCCCTCGTGGGCTACTTTTTATGAAGAGGAAGGAAGGTGGCCAGTGCCAAGGGCTGGGTGCTGCCCGGCTGGTGTGTAATGGGCTCGGATATATAGCCCCACAGTCCTTAGGAAGCCCGGCTTATTCCCACCCAGGCCCCGGCCCCATCTGCACTCAAGTTATCCTCTCTTCTGGCTCCTCCTCCCCAAACCTTTCCCCAAATCAGGTACAGATCAACCCCCACCTTCCGTCACCAACCTCCCTTTCTCTCCCACACTGAACTACTTCCTAAGGCAGGCATTCTCAACCTATGGACATTGGGCTGGGTGTTCCTTAGTTGGGTGGATCATCCTGTGTATTGCAGGACATTTGGTAGCATCCCTGACCTTAGGAGAGTCCCTTGGACAGCAAGGAGATCAAACCAGTCCATCCTAAAGGAAGTCAACCCTGAATATTCATTTCAAGGATTGATGCTGAAGCTCCAATACTCTGACCACCTGATGCAAAGAGCTGACTCACTGGAAAAGACCCTGATGCTGGGACAGATTGAGGGAAGGAGAACGGGACGACAGAGGACGAGGTGGTTGGATGGCATCACCGACTCAATGGACATGAGTTTGAGCAAGCTCCGGGAGTTGGTGATGGACAGGGAAGCTTGGTGTGCTGCAGTCCATGGGGTTGCAAAGAGTCGGACACGACTGAGCGACTGAACAACAACTGACCTCTACCCACTGGATGCCAGCATCTCTTCCTCCCTAGCGGTGATGACCCAAACTGTCTTCAGACACTGCCCAATGTCTCCCGCAGAGGTCAAGATCCCCCAAGCTGAGAACAACTTCCCTAGGGTCTGACCATAGATGCTGCTGGAATGATATCAGGGTGGCCGAGCAACCTGGCTTCACTACTGACACGCTGTATGACCTTGAATGATTATATCATCTTCTATGCCTGTTTCCTAGCTTGCACAATGGTAGCTACCCTCTAGGAGGCTGCTGTAGGGTTTTTCAAGTGAACATACACATTCTAGAATGGTCTAGGCACTGCTATTATCTAGAATGGTCTAGTCACTGCTATTATCAGCCCTTTCATTCACTCCTCCCCAACGAGACCAAGCTCCTTGGGATGCAGATGGTGTCTAACACATCTCTGATCCTCAGGGCCCCTCAGCGGTTCACATGCATGCACAGATGTTCAATAAGTAACTTGCTTCTGGTGTGAAAGTGCATGTGTGAACCCTGGCATGTGTGAGTGAGAAGCCAGAGGTGGGTCCTCTCTTTCTATTCTTGGCCCTCCCTCGCTTTTCCACATGGTCACACCATCAGGTCAGCCTTCCCAGGCTGGCTCAAACCTCTCTCTCCCCACCACAAACCTAGCCCACTGTCTTGTCAATTCCAGGAGAAACTCCCGAAGGCCACTTTCCTTACCCCTCCTTCAAGATCCACCAAGATCCCACCACCACCATTCGACTCTAAAAGCTCTTAGCATCTCAGCTACCAGTTAGGATGACCCTCATTAAGAAGTCTGTAAAAAACAAATGCTGAGAAGGTTTAGAGAAAACGGAACCCTACTACACTGCTGGTGAAAATATAAGTTGGTGCAGCCACCGTGGAAAACAGTATGGAGGTTCCTCAGAATACTAAGAATAAAATTACCACGTGATAAAGCAATCCTACTCCTGGGCACATATCCAGACAAAACTATAATTCAAAAAGACACATGCACCCCTGTGATCACAGCAGCACTCTTCACAGTATACAAGTCATGCAAACAACCTAAATGTCTATGCACAGAATGGATAAAGATGCGGTACACAGATACCATGCATACCACTCAGCCATGAAAGAGAACCAAACAATGCCATCTGCAGCAATGTGGAGGCAACCAGAGGTTATCATACGAAGTGAAGTAAGTCAAAGAGAGAAACAAATACCATATGATATCACTTACATGTAGCTCTAAAAGATGACAGAAATACACCCATCTATGAACCAGAGACACGAAAACAGAGAACAGACTGGTGGTTGCCACGGTGGAGGGAGTTGGGAGAAGGATGAAGTGGGAGGCTGGGGTCAGCAGACATAAGCTTTTAGATACAGAATGGATAAACAGCAGGTCCTACTGTATAGCACGGAGAACTATAATTCAGTATCCTATGATAAACCATAATGGCAAAGAATATACAATAAAGAATGTATACATGTGTATAACTGAACCACTTCACTGTACAGCAGAAATTAACACATTGTAAATCAACTATACTTCAATAAAAATATTGATTAAAAAGCAGGCAAAAAGAGAAAAATTCCTGTGTAACATTAAAAAAGGAAAGAACAAACTGTCCTATACACCTACCTTGACCTTTCCTCCACCCAAGGTCCCTTGGCCAAGGATATTGTCTCGTGATTTTCTTCTGCTTAGAATAACTATTACATGAATTCATATTTATTCTCTCTCTCTCTCTCACACTCACACACAGAGCTATGTTCTAGCTTACAGTCTTTCAGGAAACCCAAGGAACCAAAGAAAGTCATAGATTCCAGTGTGGCTGTACCACAGTGCTTGCTATAGAGCTAGCAGGGCCTCCAGATATTGTAGCAGAGGGAAAATATTCTTCTTCCCATTGGCCATGCAATCAGAAAATTCCAATGTGCTCAAGAGACTACACTTGCATGCTTCGTTTCTCAGAAAATCTAATTTCTTCTTCTTAAATACTCGTATTCAATTTTCCTTTAAGTAGCTCTTCTCAGTCTTATGAAACAGCATCAATTCAGGTTGAACAAGAAATAATTTAAAAAAAAGAAATAATTATGTTCAGGTTGCAGAAGGTGTACACAGATGGTACCAGTTTCCTTCCTTCCACTTGGCATGTGAGCATCATGTTATGAGGCTCTGGGGAGCACACACTCACCTGGATCACAGTGGAGGACAGTGCTCTGGCATCTGAAGCATTTCCTTGACTTGTGATAGGGATGGCAAGTCACCTCAGGCACACCTAGCCGACTCTATGTGAGTGTTCTGATTACTGAGCTGAGGAAAATTCTGTTGAGGCCGAGTCTTAGTGGGAGAGAGTGCTGTGATTGATTAGTGATGTCTGTAGTGGGTATGGTGTTAGTCAGTGGTGTTATATGAGCCAAAAATACCATCACTGAAAAAAACAGTTTCAGGGAGGAATCTGTACAGAGCAAAAACAGCCCAAGTCAAGTCCCTGCCTTTTGTATTTTTGTCCTTCTCAGTGGCTGGTACTCAGAATATGTTCAATGACTTCATGTCATTTGGGGTTTACAATGGGATTGGACTTTTCCCATCTCTGGTTACCTTAATGATGCTCTGGCAGGTTGACAGAGGCAGGCCCACCAGGCTGGTGCCGTTGATGGACATGATCTGGTCCCCAATATTCAGCTTCCCTGACTTCTCTGCCGGGCCTCCGTGCATCATGTTGGCTATGATCACAGTTGGCAAGATGGATCCCCAGCCAGACTCCACAATCACCACACCTAGGATTTCCCCTTTCTGCTTCTCTATGAAGACCTGAAAGGAGAAACACAACACTTAGAAAGGCTGAATCAGCAACCATCCAGGGTAGAGAGAGAAGTCAAGGCATTTCCCCTGTTCCTGTCCTGAGGAAACATGACAGACACTTCCCTGATGACTCCGACCCAGACGAATGCTGTCCTCTCTGTATTCCATGGCATCTGGGGTTGGTAAGAAATGATGTCATGCAGGCACATACCCCTTTTATGTAATTCTTATTCCGTAAAAGCCATCCTGCCTTGGGGCTTCCCAGTGGCTCAATGGTAAGAATCCACCTGCCAATGCAGGAGATGCAAGAGATGCAGGTTCAGTCCCTGAGTCAGGGAGATCCTCTGGAGTAGGAAATGGCTACCCACTCCAGTATTCTTGCTTGGAAAATCCTATGGACAAAGGATCCTTGCAGGATACAATGCACAGGGTCACAAAGAGTCGGACTTGTACAAGTCAGACTCAGCACTTGTACCTGCCTTGGTACTACAACCACAAGGGGTGTCATATTTTGTTTTGTTTTTCCTATAGTCTCCAGTGAAGGGCAAAAGAGTCTGTAGGTGGGGGCTTTGGTGGGATCTTATGGTTTCCAGAATAGCTTTTGGATTCTACCACAGATCCCCTGTTTCACAGTGCCTCATAAATTCCCTCCAACATTTAAGATTATTGAGTTAAAGATAAACATGCATTATAGAGACACTTCTCTGCAACAAGAAAGTTAAGAAAAAAGAAAAAGGTTGGAAGTGCAAAAACACTGGTCCTAGATATGCGTCATTACTGTTGCTTTCCCCAGCTGGGCAGAGAAGCCAGGAGCTGGTTTCAGATATGTTCAGTTTGATAAGGCAGACACACCATAGACAGGTAAGACGCTTCTTGGAAGCAACCAACAAAGAGAATGTGTGTATTTATTTCTTCACATTTACAGAGCCACACATGCTCAAACACATACTGGAGCGGGGGCGCTGGGGCCTGACAAGGTCCCTTCACGGGCTGCTGTCCTCCTCCCCCCTGCTGGTGCTGCTCACAACTGGCCCCTTTCCTGCAGAATTGCCCTAAGCCACATGGCCGTCACCACCTACTAGGAGTTGAATCATGTACCCCTCCACCCTCCAAATTCATATGCTGGAGTCCTAACTCCTAGTACCTCCAAAGAGGGACTTGTTTGGAGATCGGGCCTTTTCATAGGCAATCAAGCTAAAATAAAAATGATTAGGGTGGGTCCTAGCTCAATATGATTAGTATCTTTATGAAAAGGGGAAATGTGGCCACAGAGTGAAGACAGAGCCGGGATAAGATGACCATCTACAAGCGAACGAGAGGCCTGGGATGGGTCATCCCCCTCACAGTCCCTAGGTGGAACCAACCCTGCAGACGCCTTGATCTCAGGCCTCCAGCCTCCAGAACTGGAAGACAATGCATCTCTGCTGTGGAAGTCCCCAGTCTGGGGAACTCTGAGCACAAGCACACTCACCTACCTCTGTCTGACCTCACTGCCAATGACTGATGAGGCCTGGGCACAGGCCTGCCAGCTCTTTTGGCTCCAGGCGGGACAAGACAGTTCTGTGATGTGTGACCTGGTGCTTCCATTTGGATCAGAGGCTGTTCATCCCCAGCGAGGCCACAGTCCTTCGTGGCATCCCCACCACCCACTCACTGTTTCCTGAGTGCACCCTGCCCCCACCTCCCCACAGATCCCTTGAACCAGAATTCCCATCTCAGGCTTTGCTTCCAGGAAACCTAGGACACCTAGCATCCATGAGTGAATTAAAAGATCACACTGGCCTACATCTTGGGCATAAAGTCCAGGTCCCTCACCTTGGCTGGACTCTCAAGCCTGCCAGTTCTGACCCGGGCCCAGCATCCTCTCATATGCACAGTCCAGCCTCAATGCCTCATCCGTGGCTCCCCAGATGATTCCTGAGTGTGTGAAACCTCATGCTTCTGTTACAGGGGTCCAGCCCTCTGCACTCCTCTACACTTTTCAGAGAATACCCAGACCCCAGAACAGGTGAGATGGCCCTGCTTTCCTCCAGCTGTTCCTGCAGAGTCCCAGGGGGAGCCCAGCACACCTCATCTGTCCCCAGAGAGCTGAGACTAGCTCCACTCTGCCAGGCACAGCTGTATCTGAATAGTGCCCATCCAGCATCATCATTTAAGACCCTCCCTTTTATAAATGTGTCCTTTCCTAGACTGGGGAGCTTGTAAAGACAGGGTTTAGGTCCTGTCTGCTTCTGGAACCCATCCCAAAAGTCAGCTGTGGATCAGAGCGGGCAGAGGACACCTTGCCTCGCTGGCCACGGCCCTCAGCTGATGTCTTTAATGACCTGGGCCACACACGAGGGGAGCCAGAGATGGGCCTGAGCCCTCGGCAACGTTCTGCGAACACCATGCTCCCCCCCGGCACTCTGCCTTCACCTCCTTGGTGGGCAGGCCCAGCCGGCCCAGCCTGGGGAACAGGTTCAGGGAAGTACTTACATCTTTGCAGTTTTCGGACTTGGAGAAGTGGATGAGGTCGTCGTTGTACATGTCCTGGGTGTTGAGCAGGTCACTGTACTCCTTCTGGCTGAGATCTTCGGGGTTAATCCCGTTGGCTCTGAGGAACTCCTGGTATGCCACGCTGAAGGCCTGCCCAATGGACTGTGCGATCAGCTGGGCCTGGGGAGGAGAGACAGGGTTAGCAGGGCAGGGCTGCTGGTAGATGACCTGGGTCCCTGAAGACTGCTGGGCCCTAGGCACTGGCTAGCCCAGCGGGTCTCCATGGCACAGCAGTTCCTTCTAGAGGGCATTTCCAAAATTAGTGGGAACATTTTTTACTATGACAATGATCATAGGGAGCTCCTGGCATTCAGTGGACAGGAGTCAGAGATGCTGGACTTACTGCTGTGCAAAGGACAGTCTTGCCCAGGATGAGCTGTTTTACATCCTGCACAATTTTAAGATATCCCCCCAGACATTCATGTACATATAACACCTGTGCTCAACTGCCTGAGTCTAGGACTCAACTCTAATTTATATAAAACCACAAAACTTATTGCATGGCTCTAAAACACAATGTTCCAAGAATATAACTATTATGTGAATTGAGAAAAGATGTTTTATCCAGCACTTTACCAAGAGTAAGCTTCATGACTTTAGAAAATCATCAGCATCAATGCTGTTTGTGAGATGTGGGTTGCCAATAAATTATCTCCGTCATTCTGCACACTGGCTATGAAGTGTAGAGGTTCTTCATGTGTGCGCACTCATGAATGTGTTTATCAACTATTTCATTTTAGCTTTCAACAATCTTACTTTATATTTCCTTTTATTTCTCCTTTGTATTACATTTATGGCAATACTTTGGTTGTTTTGTGAAAACTTTTTCAGAAAAGGAGATTATATGATCTGTGAATTTCATTCATATTGTCTATGAGTAGGGCATTATAAAATATTTGCTATGTGAAAGGATTGTTGGGTCCAACAGAATTGAGAACCCTGATCGAGTCCAACCCCACATTTTCTAGGTGAGGGGGCTAAGAAGTCCAGAGATACAAAGGAACCTGTTTAGGGTCACACAGCTCACAGGCTGGGAACTCTGCTTCTGTTGAGCTTTTTCCTGCACTGGAATTTGATAACCTTTCCCTTCATTAATTAATCAACATCACAACTTGGGAGGGCCAGCAGCAACCAAGCCTGTGCCACATCACATCCCATATAAACATCATCACATAAAGTCACATCAAGTCGATGATATAAGTATGACTGGTCCACAAGTCTTCATCCTAAGCTCTGAGGGCAGAGTTTCAGAATTCAGAANCACAACTTGGGAGGGCCAGCAGCAACCAAGCCTGTGCCACATCACACCCCATATAAACATCATCACATAAAGTCACATCAAGTCGATGATATAAGTATGACTGGTCCACAAGTCTTCATCCTAAGCTCTGAGGGCAGAGTTTCAGAATTCAGAAATGTTCAAATTTTATAAAGGTAACAGAGTGCATACATCATACATTGCGTAAAAACCCCACTAGAGCTTGGAGAAGTGCCTAAACACACTCAGTAATATTCCTGCAACAAAATGTGTGAGATTCATAGTAAGCTGGACAAATCCTATAAAGTGCCTCACTGCAGCTCAGAGCAAGCTTAACAGCCAAATGAGTACAAAAATCTCTTTTGTTTCTCAGAGCTCTTAGACTTTAAAGCTGTGTATCTGTTTTACGTATTGTTTCCTTGTTCGCATTGGGGAGATGAGGAAAAGGAGGTTGAGAGCGTAAGTTGGGGTGGGGTTGGAGGCTGAGAATCCTGGCAGCTTAATTCCAGAGCCCACCACCTGCCCACCCCTGGTACTGCTGCTCTCTCAAATTCCAGTGGGTAGAAAACCCACAAAACAACAACATGCTCCAGGGCAAAATTTCAAACTCACAACTGTCGTCTCCAGTCCTCCTTTCCCTATCTTTAGTCATTTTTGCTGAAAGCAGTTAATTAACGGTGATGTCACAACTTTCTGCGTGGTTGGCTTGGGGGGAAAGAAATGCTGCTTAACATATCTCACTCTGAGAGTCTGGTGACATCACATGTCATGCCAAGGACCACCACACTGCCTCCTGCCGAGGCATCGCTGTGGGCATCAGAGGCTCGTGTGAACAGACGAACTGAAGAAAGTGTCTGAGAACACAGTCAGTGGGCTTCCCGACCATCGTGAGTGGATGCACCGGGCCAACAGCTCAGACTACTCTCATCTCTGCTGGGTCTACCTGAGCCACACGGCAGCCTGTTCTATAGAATCTCAGCAGCTGCAGAGCCCGTACATGGAGGTGGGATTCACATCCAAGTCTCCCAGCACTGGAGCCCATGCTCTCCTCTTCTATCCTGGGCCTTGGAAGCAAAGCAGCAAGATTTCCAGGTCCACTCTTGCTTCTTCCTTCTTCCCCTTCATTGTCTCCCCTACAGACCCAAAGGAGCCCCAAGGGAGACAGAGTCCTCCTTTAGGAGCACCAAGCCTGGGAGAGGTGGCTGAGGGTTGAACCGGGCCCTCATGTCTGTGTAAGCAGAGCTAACGCCATCTTTTCACAGGCCTGCAGGACACATGAAACAATATTCTAAATGTAACTCCGTTGGAGCTTTACAAGAACCTTCTCCAGGTTTGCAAGTTTGGTCTCAGTTTCACAGGAAAAGTGGAGAGAATGGCCAGGACAGGTGCTTCAAGCTCTCTGTCTTCTCAGCAACCTGTCTCTGGGGCTGAGAACCAGACAAGTAAAAGTTGGTACAAACACGTAAGCATCTCCTCCTGTCTGAGGCTACAGCCATGAGGGTTCTGCTTCCCTGGAGATTTGTCTCTGACTCCTAACTTCTCAGAGGCAGGCCGCTTACCGTGACTCCATGAATACTCTCAGGCAGAAAAATGGCCCCTTTTAAGGAGCCAAGGCTATCCGAGGCAATTTTCTTTACGTAGATAAGGTCTCTCTGCTCAGTATGAGAAAGACAGCTTGTTTCACTGTGGCAGGAGGAAAATTTATCGCAGTCAATGGCACTGACCTGGCCAACTCTGGGGAGGTCCTGCAGTTGGAAACCATCGCGGGGCCGTGGCCCTGGCCTGGAGGGAGCTGCCGAGGCCCGCTGAGCTTTGGGAAAAGGGTGGTGCTGAAACAGCTTGAAGCCCGGTGGCCTCGCCAACAGCTCTAGGGACAACTGGAGAAGAAGGCTGAAGGGAAGGAGGAGCCCCACCACTGTTTTGAATTAGCTTCCTCTGTGGACTTTATCATGTGCAGAGATGGGTGTTAGGAAGCCCTGGCTCTGTGACTGGAGGAACAGGTGGGTTTGCGAAGGAGTGGGTGGCTGGTGCTCACGCCACGTGGTGGGGAGGGGCAGGGATGCCAACTTTCCTGTTAGCAAAGGGCAGTCCTGCAGAGCCCTCTGGTGCCCTGTCTCCTGGCCTTTTCTCAAACTCCGTCGGCAGGCCTCTGTCTCCGAGCCTCTGCACCTGTTCTTTCCTCTCAGCTCTACTCAGGTTCAGCTCCAACGTGACTTCAGAAAGGACTCTGATCATTGTTCTACCTGAAACAGCCCCTGCCCCTCTATCCCTTGACCTAGTTTTTCCTGATTAAACATTCCTGTGCCTAATTTTCTATTAAGTATATTTATCTATTCATTTTCTGTCTCTCTACAACCTTCACGAGGAGTACCTTGTCTGTTTTATTCAGCCTCATATCCCCAGCACTAAAACAGTGCTTGACACATAATAATTGCTCAATAAGTATTTGTCTCACCTATGATTCAGGTTCTGAGAACTAGAGGGAACCCGTTTACCCAAGGGCAGCTCAGATCAGATCACGGGGAGGGAGATGAGAGGAGGCCACCCTTACATCTTCAGACTCGAAGACATGGCAGATCATCTTGTACTGCCTTTTTCCATCCTGGGATGGGTGGNACAGTGCTTGACACATAATAATTGCTCAATAAGTATTTGTCTCACCTATGATTCAGGTTCTGAGAACTAGAGGGAACCCGTTTACCCAAGGGCAGCTCAGATCAGATCACGGGGAGGGAGATGAGAGGAGGCCACCCTTACATCTTCAGACTCGAAGACATGGCAGATCATCTTGTACTGCCTTTTTCCATCCTGGGATGGGTGGGAGGCTTCCACGTTCTCCTGGGAGTTGGAGCGGGGCATCCGCCTGCGGGCCATCAGCACAACAATGTTCCCGATATCTGCTATGTAGGAAATGGTCCTCAGAGGGTGGTCCATCATGGTTTCCTGGAGGGGACACGGGAGAGGCTGGTGAGCCTAGAGCATCATCTAATGACCCAAGAGAGAGTCTGCCACCCACAGTGTAGCCAAGGGCAGTCCACACATACTGCGGGTGTGGGTGGCGGTGCTCTGGGGCTCACTGCAAACACTGTGTTGGCAGATTCACATGTACCCACCCAGGCCTGGGAGCAATTCCCTTGACTGGTGATAATCCAGAGCAGGAAGTGGCTGTGGTATATGAAAAGAAATTTAAATCATTTTACAACCAGCAGAATCTCTGTGGGTGCATGCTAGGTCACTTCAGTCATGCCTGACTCTTCGTGACCCTTTGGACTATAGTGCCCACCAGGATCCTCTGTCCATGGGATTTTCCAGGCAAGAATACTGGAATGGGTTGCCATGCCCTCCTCCAGGGGGGTCTTCCTGACCCAGGGATCGGACCCGCATCTCTTGCGTCTCCTTCACTGGCAGGTGGGTTCTTTACCACTAGGGCCACCTGGGAAACCCCTGCTGGGGAAGCTAAAAAAATTAAAAATCTGCATGCAATCACTGTGTTTTGTTTATGTGTGTACGTGTGATTTTAAACAAAATTTCTTGAAAGGCTAATCTGTTCAAATTCATGAATCTTCTGACAAAACTTTGTGAGAATTATTAACAAACAATATCTGTGGCCTGTTTCTCCCTTTGATCTTTAACAGCCCCAACCTTCCTTACCAAGTCCCTCCCTAACCCCCACCCGCCACATCAGCAGCAGGCACTGCAGATACAGCCTCCAAGCTTGTGTGGAAGCCAGCCAGCATCTGGGCCCAGCTGCCTGACAGACAAGGACACAATCTCCTGGTTGCCATGCTAAGCTTCACCCTCTAGGAAGGTGGGAGCCGGCGAATTAATACCTGCGTGTCGGCGTTCAATACTTTGATTCTCTGGGTAGAAATGAAGAGATCCACCTCAGTCATTGGCTGAGATTCACCTTCAGGAGCCTGAGAAGGGAAACATACCAAGGGAAAGCTTAATATGTTGCTCTGACCCAGGTGCGTGGGAGCAAGGTTAACTCACACACAGAGGCTTCGAGACACAGTCACCAGAACAGCGATTCAGACTCCAGAATTAGACTGCCAAAGCCAAAGGGACCACACAGAGGATGGCCACGGGGACTGGAGTGAGCACCTCCAGGTGACAGGGAGAACTGTGGACACCCTTTGCTTCTTCCGCCATGGAAGCAGTAACTCACTGCAGCATATCTAACTCTCTGAACAATGAGGTGAATGGCGCTTTCTGCAAGGGTTTCAGAGCCCAACAGATTGAAGGAATCAGGGTGACTGACTCATACCCCCAGGACCTTGGAGAAGTCAGAGTTTGCTCCTGCTCAAGTGATGGGGCGGGGGGTGGGTGTCGATGTTCACAGCAGGTGCAAACAAGGCAGCTGGAGGCAGTTCTGGTAAGAGGGTCTTCATGTTCCCACACACCACAGCAACACAGAAGCAGTACCGCTGTGGAAGCCACCCCATTAAGAGCGAGCCCCAATGCCTCAATGTCCCACGGTAGCTCTAAAGCACCTGGAAGCTCCACAACCAAAAAAAAAGCACACCAATCTGGTTCATTTAGGGCTTGATTCTGCACACATGTGGTTATTAGCGAGTTTTCTTTTTTGCATCCAGCAATCTGACAAATCCACAAATCAAGCATGACTAGAACTGAGCAGACCCAGGTCCCCGCCAGGTGAATGTTCCTGAATGGTGGGCACTTGCACACTACTGCAGATTCCTTCAGCACCCCAGTCTGCTCCCTGGCCTCCCTCTGGAGTGAGATGACTAATGAGCAACAGAAAACAGCCGCTTTGGGCAACTGAGTTTTGAGACACGTTGGCTTATGGGGCGGTTCAAAAAGAAATCTGAACAAAAACTTGCTGGATGCAGAAAACAAAAACACGAAATAAGAAAAAAGGCAAAACATAAATAAATGAAAAATAAAAAGAACAGGCATAACATCAAGCTGATGAAGTTGTTTGTACTGCACCTTCTTCCTGCTTTTGGCTAATTTCTGGGCCATCTGCTTGGCATGGAACAAACAGAGACAGGAGAACAGTTAGAAAAGAATTTGCAGAGACTCAAAGTTGAAAAGGGAATTGACAAACTAATATCAACAGTGGTATAAAGCATTTCTGTGGGAGGTAGACTGGCTTTAAAAACAAATCCCACTCGACTGCTGATTTCCTAAATCAGAATTTGGTAGCTGGCGGGGGCAGTAGGAGGAAGGACATGTACTGAGGTTCCTTATACTTAACTGCAATTGATGCTTTCAAAGAACCAACTTTTGGTTCTGTTGATTTCCTTTATTGTATGCCTATATTCTATTTCAGGGACTTCAGCCTGTATCTTTATTTCTTTCTACTTTCTTTGGGTTTAATTTGCCAATTTTTTTCTAGCTTAAGATGAAAACTTAAATTATGGATTTTCAAACTTTTTTCTTTCCTGATAATATTTAAAGCTATGAATCTTCCTCTAATCTCCACTTTAGCTATATCCTACAAACTTTAATATGTTGCAATTATCGTTTCATTCAAAACACTTTCTAATTTCCACTGTGATGTCTTCTGTGAACCTTATTTGTGTTCTTAATTTAAACACATTTAAAGATTTCCTAGTTATCTTTTTGTTATTGACTTCTGAATCAACTGTTCTTTCTCTTTATTAACTCCAGTAATACTTCTTGCCTTAAATTTGTATAATATTAATAGAACCTGTGTGTGTGTGTGTGTGTGTTAGTCGCTCAGTTGTGTCCAATTCTTTGCAACCCCATGGACTGTAGCCCGCCAGGGTCCTCTGTCCATGGAATTCTCCAGGCAGGAATACTGGAGTGCGCAGTCATTCCCTTCTCCAGGGGACCTTCCTGACCCAGGGATCGAATTCTCATCTCCTGCATTGCAGGCAGATTCTTCACTATTTGAGCCACCAGGGCTTCAATAAAGCCTATTTCTAACTAGAAACGGATATAAGATTTATTCAAGACAGCAGAGTTCTATAAGAGGAGAAACTCTGAGGCCAGACTGTCCAAAACTGCATTCTGGCTCTGCTACCTACTAGTCATGTGACTTGGGACAGACACTTAACATCTCTGTGCTTCAGTTTTCTCAAAGGTAAAATGAAGGGAAAACCAGAATTTACTTCATAGGGCTGCTGTGAGGATAAAATGAGTACAGCTGACCCTCGAACAACGTGGGGTTAGGGATGCCAACCACCACGGGGGCATCCGTGTATAACTTACAGTTAGCCCTCTGTATACACAGCTGGTTCCTCTGCACCCGCAGTTCTGCATCCTTAGAGTCTACCAATCACAGAGTCAACTGATCTTGGGCCACATAGTACTGTACTATTTACTCCTGAAAAATACCCAGGTATAGGTGGACCTGTGTTGTTCAAGGGTCAACTGCATACACAATGCTCTCAAAGCAGTGCCTGGTGTGTTATAAGCACTCTGTTTGCTCTCACAAGATCACGATGTTAGACAACTACACTTCGCCTGTGTTGGGATGCAGCCTCTTGGCTTTGGTAAGGCCTGCTATGTGCACGCAGATGTGACCCGAATGACAGTGAGTCAGTGGCCGAGCCACGGGCACTGCTGTGATGATGGGGGTGGGGTGCGGGAAGAGCAGCTCCCTCACATCCTCGGTACTCACCTGGCGCCAAAGTTCTTGTTGTCAGCAACACGTCACTACCTCGTAAGCAACTAATTGTGTTGTCTGTGCTACCTCGTGGTGGAGAAACTGGATGAGTCAGCCCTCCAAATGCTGACCACCTGATCTGGTGCACCCAGGAGACCAGGGCAGCCCCAGCCCCAGAGCTCATACTGGTGGCCAAGACGTCGTGATGGAACAGTCAACTCTGGGAAAGTCTGGAGGCAGCAATTTCAAGTGCTATCCTAACTCCTGCAATGACAGTGGAAATATCTGTGCATCTGAAGAGTGGCCCCTGGCTGATGCTGTGCCACACAGATTCCTGATCTGTGCCAGTTATAATCCTCAAGATGAACAATTGCTGTAACAACTAAGCTCTGTCTTCTTACCTCCCCTGAAATGATATGGCAGTAATATGTGAATTTCCATTATTTTTGATACCAAAACTTAATGGTCATTGGTCAAAATTCTTCACCTGCAGGATGAGAAATCTCATCTGAAGGACCCCTCTCAAAGGAAAGCAAGCCTGCCACCAATGAAACGCCCGCTTTCTATTTTTACTGGGATGGGTGACGAGGAAGAAGATCCAAAAGGCAAACCGAGTTCCATGAAAGGCATTTTGAGAATTTTTTTATGAAGTCAAAAATATTTTGTACACTTAAGAGTAACACCACCTTTAAATCACTTATGATGTCCAAGTGCCCTGAAGCAAATTAGAATTAAAAATTTAGGCATAAGTTTGGAAATCATGATGGGGTCAGGGCCAGAATGAGAAGCTGGAGCAGCAGAGAAAGATCTATGAGCCTTAAGGCCCACATGCATCTTGAAGCAGGGGCTGACAGCATCCATTTAAAGCCCTGGCTTCCATGAGACTTGTGGCTCATAACCAGCAGGATGCTGGTGATCACCAAAGGACACGTGCAGCACTGTCCATCCAATCACTCCACCCACAACGTGTCCTGAGCACCTGAGGTCGCTAAGACCCTCTAAGGCTAGTTATGCCCGGGATCCTCTGACTACTCTAGCTTTTCTTTCCCCAGCTAACACTGACTGAGCACTTAGCATATGCCCATATCCTTCTAAGCACTTCACATATATCAGTATAAAAGCTTACAATAACCCTGTGAGGTAGGCACTACATTATCCTCATCTTTCACAAGAGAAAACTGAGGCACAGAGAGGCTAATTAACTTGCCCAAGGTCACACAGCTATTAAATGGCAGAAGAAATAATCAAACTGGAAACCTAACTCTATATTCCAAATTGTTACGGTACCAGCTGGACACGTTTTTCATCTATAAACTTCTCAGTCTGTCTCAGTCCGTTGGTAAAATGGGGTTAATGATACCTACCTCACAGGGTTCCCCACCCTCTCCACTTGGAGGCATAAATGAGATAATGTACGTAAAGGGTCTCCTATCCATGTCAGTATCTTCTTTATTAACCATAGACGACTTCAGGTCAGACGGGAGATCAGCTGGCTTAGACAAGGTTACACTACAGAAATTCTCATTTTGCAATTAAATCATAATTTTGAAACACCTAAATAAAATCTCCCCATAAAAGAATGGAAAAAAAATCTGATCTTTTGGGGAAGGCTAGTAAAAACAGATATAAGAATATTTGATAATGAATATGCCTTATAAAAATGTGTGGACCAAAGAAAATACCAAAAGGCCATGGAGACAAACACACCACATTGTGTGGACATGAAGCGGTTTCTACAGCTCAGGCAGTTTCTGCACCTTGCCTCGTCTTCGGTGGAGGAGCAGAGGGTGAAGTGGGAATGATGGTGAAATGAAGCATGGAGATGCAGTGAGAGGAAGGGGTGAGGGAGCTTGCTATACAGGCTTCTCAACTGGTTCTCTAGGTAGGGTCAAGGCGGGATTCCCCCCTGCGGGAGGGCTCGGAAGGGGATGTCTCTGCCTGCTTCAGATACTGACTGAGTGTAGGGCAAAGCTCCCTCTAGAAGTTTTTCCTAAAACATATTTAAAAGAATCCCAGCAATAAGACCATCAGGTATCACCATAGGGATGATGTATTCTGCTTTCAAGTAACTGTGGAAGCTTCTGGTTAAAAAAATGAATTAAATCTCCTTAGTACAGGACTTCTCAGAGCTTTTAATAGGAAAATACATGTGGCAGATACCAAAAATATCTATTTGGTGGTGTTTCTTGTGCTTATCTGCCAATGGAACCGCATCAGCGAGGAGCGCTGCATGTGACCAGAATGTGAGGGCACAGCTAGCGAACAGAAGCTCCTTCACACCGGATGGATGTCCACACTTTCCTCAGGGGCTGGGTCCCGACCTGCGCACACATTACCATCTCCCAGAGGGCCCATGAAAACAGGTTCCTCCTGAGTCTCTGACTGGGTTGGGGCCTGAGAGTCTGCACTTCTAACAAACTCCCAGCTGATGATGCTGCTGCTGGTCCTGCTCTGAGGACCATTGCTCAATGCATTTCTAAATCATAGGGGAAGCTTTCTGGAAGGATATTCTTACTTCTCAAAAAAAGATGAACCAAGGCAGAAAGAATAGATTAGGGAGAGTACAAAGATGGAAAAAAAAAACAACTGCAAAATAAATGGCAGATACCCTCTAACTCTGCTGCGGCATTCAGATGTACCTTGTATCTTACATTTTGGTAGATGAACATGTCTTAATTACAGATTCCTCAGCCCGCCTTGTTATTTCAGTTACCTAAACACTCCTCCTGGCTCTCTCATGAGACAGCAAGTTTCTCAGGGTCAAGGATGTGGTTGATTTTTATCTGCTAAGAGGCCTTGTCACAGGGATCCTGAATGGGGACAGTTTGCTTTTTGAGTCAGATTCCTATCTAGAAAAACCACAACTCAAAATCCTCCCCCCATTTTGGCAAATAAACCTGTATATTATTTGTAACTTAAGAAAATTGCAATTCTTTAGACTCCCAAGTGTAAAGCCGGTATCACTATTAAATGTCAGCTCACAGCTGGTGCTACGTGAGTGACAGACACCACATAATTGATGGACAGACCAGGAATTAAAGCCTGCTTTGAAATGGAAACCCAAACATCAGGGGCAGAGCTGGCACAGAGCAAAAGCACCTCAAACACACGGCCACAGCGGGGCTCCTGAGAGGAAGGCCTCCCTGGCATCCATGGGGTCAAACAAACAATGCAGGGAGAGGAAGGAGCAGGCCGAGCTGGGGTCCCTGAGGGAGGGAGGCAGGCAGGAGGAATCAGAAAAAGAAAGGAGGAAGCTCCTCTGTGTGTAGGTGAGAGCACCAAGCCAGGAATTACTCATCAGTTTGTGGTGAGGATATCACTAAACGGATTTCCAAATAAATCCACAGAGCCTTCCCCCTTCCTTCCTGGATGGACGTGACTAGAAAAT